TCTTAATATGAAATTCGAGTGGTATGACAATTAGAGATTAGACTGTACAGAAATTGAAATCTACTGCGTATACACACTATACTCATAGTCACCAATGCTGATGTTGTTAACATTAATCATTTGAGAATAAAGTATAACAATAATAATAATTTGAACGGTTTGATGTGATATGAGCTAATTTAGATTTAATCACCATTGGTAGCGAGATTTATGGTAATGCTTTTTTCCTCAGTTGGTCCGAACAAACATGGCAGATATGTTACTTACTTGTTCAGATGGCAATATACAGTGAAAATTCTTATTTGCAGCTTTAAATTGTAATAATATTTGACAGTTTTACTGTTTTGCTGTATTATTGTTTAAATAAATGCAGGCTTGCTTAAAATAAGACTTCTTTTAAAAAATATTTAAACAATCTTACTGACCCTAAACTTTTGCATGATAGTGTGTATCTATATGTCAAAGGCTGTATATCCAATTCAAATCTACAGTATTTTGTAATAAATTAATCTATCACTTTGTATATAGGCTAGTCAAAATAGGCAGATGTCATCAGGGAGAGGTAGAATATATACATCATGAACAAAACTACACAATGTCAAAGAAAATATGACCCGGAATGCATTAAATACAGATTCACTTGCAATGAGGATAAACATGGTGTGTGTGTGTGTGTGTGTATAAATATATATACAGAATACACACACACACACACACACACACACACACATAATATAAAATAATATATGTACACAAATAAAGCAAAAAATAAACTTTTCTTTTTCAGGATACTGTATTTTAAAGATAATTTTGTAAAATCCAAATAAGTTTTACAGATCTTCAGGGAAAGGGTTTAAACAATATTTTCATACTTGTTCATTGAACCATAAACAATTATTGCACATGCACCTGTGGAACAGTCCTTAAGACACTAACAATTTACAGGTGGTAGGCTGACGATGAGATGCACTATAGTACTTAAAGCAGCTGGTGGACACACAATAAACTTTTGATATTGACCTCTCCCTTTGTTCAAGGACTAATTATTCAATTTCTGTTTGTCAAATGCCTTGTTTAGTTTGTGTCTCGGTTGTTTCACTTTTTATGTTAAAATAAAGATTTACACATGTTAAGAAAGTTGCTGGAAATATGTGTGTGTGTGTGTGTGTGTACATGTTTTTCTATCCTGGTGCGGACTTAATTCTGAATACACACCGTCACTCATGGGGACTCGTGTCACCGTGGGGATCTAAATTGAGGACCCCATGGGGAAACAAGCTTATAAAACATACAGAATAAAGTTTTTTGAGAATGTAAAAATGCAGAAAGTTTCCTGTGAGGGTTAGGTTTAGGTGCAGGGTTGGGGTAGGGCGATAGAAAACACAGTTTGTACAGTAGAAAAACCATTACGCCTATGGAATGTCCCCATAAAACATGGAAACACAACGTGTGTGTGTGTGTGTGTGTGTATTCATAAAAAAACTCTAGTGACATATCTTTGTCACCTTGTCAAAGCATTACTCTGGTAAGTAAGTTTGGTGTCCTCATTAGTGTGATGTGCATTTGATCAATCTGAATGTTAAATGAGTCAACAACAGGATGTGTTCACATGTTTTTTTTCCACAGCAGCACTGATGGAGGGAAGAGGAGGAGCCACTGAACCACATCCTGCTTTACCCCAACCTCTCACCGCATCCTATACTGTTGACATGGTGATCAAACTGTCAGTTCCTCATGTCACTTGAAAGCTTCAGCTAGGGGAGAGAAGTATCCCAGAAGGCACCACTGCACAAGCGAAGAAATCAGAGTGCATCAGGAAGAGACAACGTGATGAGTTCTGAACATCAGGTAGAGTTTATCTGTTTCTGTTAGTTGTGTTAAACTAAATGATAAGTTATACAGACGAAGCTTAGGTTAAGAGTTCTCATTTATCCTTAGTACGTTCAAGCACAGTGTGAATTTTATGCCATTTTGTGACGTGTTGTGTCGCGTTCATGGTAGGCCTGGACTGTTTACTGTCAGATCAGTATTAGACATTCACAGGGCACATGGCAACATTTCAAATGTTCTAAAGTTGATTTAGATTGCTAAACTCAACAAACACCAACAGACTGATCCAACAAAACCCAAAACAGAGATAATTTGGTGTTTTTTGTTGTTTGTTGAGGCAGTATATTTTCAAATATATATAAAACACATGCGCTACTGTTCGGCGTCATTAAGTTTTTTAAAGAAAGTATGAATCAAGGATGTATATATATATATATATTAATATGTATATATGTGTGTGTGTGTATATATATGTATATGTGTGTGTGCGCGCGTGTATATAAAAAAGCTAATAAAAAAATATAATTTTCATTATCATTAATCTCTACATACACTAATATACTAACATTTCAAGTTGTATAAATTAACAATATAATGTATTATGAACAAATATGAATTAAAATGAATATGTTAACTACAAAAACATTTTTTAAATGTTCATTGGTAAGTTCATGGGTACAGGCACTTATTGCATTAATGAACTGAACATTATTTTTTATGTGTGTGTGTGTGTGTTTTCATTTATGTTTTCCTGTAATGTTGTCACGTTGTCTGTACTCATGCCATCTCTTGCTCTTTTACAGAAGTCACAATGGAGATGACTCTGTTGTCCATCACAGTGTGTTTCACTCAGTTCCTCATTGCCTCAGCTCTTTATTTCAACACACTGCCACCAAACACCCTAAGCGACTACACTGAAACCACACAAATAACTCCAGCAACAACAAAAACAAACCCAGAACCTAAGATCCTTATATATACAACCTCTTCGTCACCTCTGACCGCAACAACACAGGACAGCACAACAAATTTGCCCAGTGAAGTGCATACACAGCCAAATATAACCCCAAATGTGACACTCACACAGGAAACAGCATCCCTGCATCAAGACAACAGCAGTAGTCCATCTCAAAATGACATGATGGATGATGGCGTGAGTGTTAGCCATGTTGCTATGAGCCATGCGAATACAAGTCATACAACAGTTTCCACTAACTTTGCAAGACTGATGCCACAAAAGGACGACAGTAATGAAACAGGAACAATGTCAAGTGTGAGTTACAACTATGAAGGGCACACTGTTCAGACTGCAGACACCTTATCAGACCCAGTGGACAGTGTCTCAACAGTTCCCTGGAGACATTCGACAGAGAAAGAGGATGAGAGAACGAAGGCAGATGAAGGAAATTATGAAACTAACTCCACCCAGGCCACATTTGCTAATACGAACGAGGAGTTGAGAGAAACACGAGGCACTGAGGGAACTTACAGGTTAACAAGTGAACACAGAGAGGAACATTACGACACAGCAGCGAATACAACCGATGTAAGTGCTACAACAGCAACAGGGAGTAACGAATGGTCAATTTCACAAAACACAGATATTCCCATGACCACACCGGCTTACACAACAGCACAAGACCCGACGGTTACAGATGTGCCATATCACACCTCAGTAAGTGGCGGAAAACACTCGACGCCACAGAATATATACAGGCTCACAAACTCTACAGCAACCACAGGAAGAGAAAACAGGACAGGAACAGACACACCCGGTGGTACCACCACCAACATCAACATCTCTATTATAACTGATGTCCTAACTGACAGCAGCCTAAATGCCACAACCAACAGAACAAACAAAACTGACACAGAAAACAAAGTGTGGACTGCATGTTTGAACCCAAACCCAGAATCTCATTCTCGGCAATCCAGGCTGGTCTGCTTCATCACAGTGTGGACTTTAGCAATGACCGCCACCATATTTCTAGGAATAACCATTTTCCTTTTGGTGCGTCTGTCTGTCTTCAAAAAAAAGATGAAGCGGAGAGGGAAAGGAGGTCAGACATGTGAGAAGGAGAGCCTCTGGGCCGACCCCAAAGCTTCAGTGCAGGAGAGAGTGGAGTTCTGGTACATCAATGGATCCACGCTGCAGGCCGACAGGAAAGACAGAAAGAGACAGAAGAGGATGAAGAGAAGAGGACAGGAACAGGATAATGAGGAGAATGGGTTGTGGATTCAGCCTAGAGTGACTGTCGATGACATAACAGAGTTCTGGTACGCAAACAGACGCATGAAGGAAGAGAGGATGCAGGACACGTAGTTATAAAACTTTGAAAGACACCAACGAAAACAATTTGGACAGTTAGACCTTCAGGCTTGTGCCTAAAACACAAGGGGATTTTGATGGAACCTTTCCAACCTACACTGCTGAAATATTCAGAACTTTCTAGCTTATTTTTCAAAATCTTCCAATCCCTGAATAAAATAAATAAAAAATACACATATTTTTGAGAGTTACCGTGCATTGAATAATAATATGCAGTTTTTTAATATGCAATTTCTGTTTATATGCTTTGAGCAAACAGTACTGAAAGAAGGAACATAATTTATTGGGCTATTCTGAATTTTTCAGTTCATATAATGACAGCTTGTGTTTCCACCATCACTAGGTCAGGACTTGCGGTAACTTGCCCAAGAAAAAAATCTAGGAGCTAAAATCTCTGATAACACATTGTCTTTGGAAGTCTCACAGTGCTGGCTTGCACTTGTAAAGATTATCATGTGAAATAAAGTGAAGCAAAATAAATATTGATTCTGAGATGGTGTAAATCGATCATTTTGAAGATTTACAACAGATGATGCTGGTTTCTGTTGTGCTTGAGTGGTGCAACAAAAAAAAAAGAGTGAGAGACAAACGTCATGAAAAGGTGCTAAATGTTCAGAAAGAGGAAATGATAGTGATTACTCTTGTTTTCTGCTGAAGTTAAAGATCGACAGAAAGAAAAAACAGTTTTTAAAGTCAAAGTCAAGGTATCATGCTCATGTAAAAATGCCCAAATGAACCTTTTTGGACCTACCTGATAGCTGCAATTGGTAAAGTTACCAAATCCTGCTTTTATTTTAGATATGTAATCATTTAGATTGTGAAATATGAAAGGACAGGACATACATCTCAGAACTGTTTAAGCAAACTGTACTTTAGACACACATTTTCACACTTCTCTGTTTTAATACCCTCCACCCAACAAACACGTACTCACACATGTGCACAATCAAACGCACACATGCTTGCACATAGACATTTAATGGCAAAGTTGTGCAGTCAAAGCATAGTCAAAACCCACAAAAGTGTCAGCACAGAGCTTCCCATTAGAGCCTGGCTTCTCTTTTTCTACGTCAGCCTCGGATAATAATTCATACTATAACCAAGCACTTTCTGCATGTTTTTTTTTTTTTATCTTTCGGTTGCAGCCTCACTCGGCCAGATGCAAGCAGTGATATGACATCTTCAGAGGGAGGAGAAATGAAAGAGAGCATGTAGGAGTGAGAGAGGAAGAGAAATTAACAGGATATAGGTGTGCTCTGCATGTGTGAGTGAGTAAATTCTCACATGTGCAGTTTTGTCTTGGTGGTCGGAGTTTGCTGTGACTTTTCTCAGAGGCATGAAGGTAAGTGGCAATCGTACTTATTCATAAAGGAATCAAACGGTTTGTGGCTGTGACGTTGTACGATGCTTGAGGACAGGTAGACAAAAAGAAAGAAAAAAACGTTACATGCAGCTTAGAGAAACATAAACATCACGCTGGCACTCAAATCGCATTCTAATACCTGTGGTAGATGTGCACTAAAATAACCTGAGGATGTACCTCTGTTCTGCCCGTCAAATAAAGTGTAGCTCTTCTGGTAGGTAAAGCATAGCGCAATCAACCCCAATTTCATAGGGTTCCCAAGATTCCCAAGAAAGTCGATTTAGATTAAAGCATTATAATTTAATTCTACCTTCTAGCAAAAATAAATAAATATTATTTAGAATGATAAATGATATTTATATTCTCATTCAGAATAATTCTGAATATTTTCCGCAAAAAATATGGCTGCTGATTCAGCTTTGCCACCACAGAAATAACTTATATTTTAAACAGTTTTTTTATTGCAATAATATTTCATGACATTACTGTTTTTACTCTATTTTTAATCAAATAAATTAACCATTGGAGAGCATAAGAGACTTCTTTAAAAACATTACAAAATCTTACCAAAAAACAAATACAATTAATATAAAATATATATTCTTGAGACAAATAAGAGTGATAATTTTTTTTGATTAACTGTCTTTTTCTTCCGGTGTCTTTTTTTACTGTCACATGTTTATTTCAAAGCTGAAATTGCCCATGCTACACTGAGAGAGACAGAGAAGGAGAAAGAGGAAGGAACAGGCCTGTGTAAAACTTTCCGGCCCAGATTCACGCAAGATAACATCTGTAGAACACAACCACGCAAAGAACATGTAAAAAAGATGAATTTCTTCTACCAGCTGCTCAGAGTTTGAAGGTTTCCTTCATTTTTGATCACGTTCTCGAGGCTCAAAAGTGGATCTCCAAAGACAATATCAGCTCACCTGAGCAATTTTGTTGCACAAACACTGAAATTGCCATAGGAAACTTCTAGATTGAGTGACTTTTCCAGCCAGTATGCTCACCATGAGGCTTATTTTTAGCAATTTGCTTCTGTTTCTTGCTCTCGGACCCTGTTTCAAGTCCACTGATGCACAAGAGACAACAACAGAGACAGATGCAAACATCGCCATCACATTACCGAACAATGACACTGTGGAGTCAAAGTTAAGTTCTGAAATCACCATCACCACACCTGAAAATACAATTACTCTACTACAGACAGAAACGGATCCGCATAATCCAGAAACCACACTTGTTAATCAAGTAAGAACCATGCTTGAGGAACCAGCATTTGAGAGTACTCCATCACTCAGTACTGAGATCGAACAAACATCACCAGAATCTGTTCCTGAAACAACAACTGTACAAACAGAGCAGACCACAGTGACTACCCCTACTGTGCTTGTTAATGTGGAAACAACAGTGACTGAACAAATAACTTCAGACGCCCCAAGCACAAGTCAATATGAAACAATTGTTGGCTTCACTGAGTTAACCAGTCCTACAGAACGTCCTATAGATGAAATCACCACAGCAGCTGTGGCCATGACCACTGATTCAACAGAAGCCCTCGATCCCACATCCTTCCTGACTGAATCACCAGCAGACTGGTCTGAGTCTCCGTCCATCATCTCCGGCCCTGTGGACACCAGCACTGAAACCTCCACTACAAGTCTAACATCAACTTCTCAGCTCCCTCAAAATACTGCTGCACCCGTGCACCCGTACTCGAAGTTTGATGAAGAATCAGTCTCCACCCATTTCACCCCCATCACCACCAGCGTAATTATCGAGGAAAGCAGTCTGCCCATGCAAACCAGATGGTTATTAATAATGATAGTGTGTGTGGCCATTATTTTTGCGCTATGTGTGGGCATGATTCTGTTCGTCCAGTGGCGAAAGAAAAACGCCTCAAGGAATTTCGGGCCCATGTATGTAAACGGACAAAGTAAACGGTCCAAGAAGAAAAAAGGGGGGGAGGATGACGCATGGGCAGGGCCTGTCAATCTGGAGGCGGGAGCTGAATGTGATGCTGAGGTACAGGATGGTCTTCTGCCTAATAATGGGAAACCGGATGGAGATGATATGATGCTCAGCACATTCGCCGCTCTGGATGCAGGAGACATGTCTAATGGTGGAGTGGGTGGGGACGGTACCAAGGAGGCTAAGAAATGGGAGGAGCAGGAGCCTTTGCTTTACATAGATGAGGATGTGAATGAAGACAAGACAGGAAAAACACTGGCAGAGAATGAGAAACAGAAAGGAGATGAAAAAAGTGAAGAGAAGGGGACGAATGGAGGAGAAACGTTCTGTCTCACCACAGCCGTTTAAAAGTCTTCTGTTGACTAAATGAACATTAAGGGATTAATAGGAATGACTTCTTGATTACATAATCTTGTATTACGTAATTTGTGTTATACAAGGACTAAGTAATATAGTTTTTATATATTATTTGATGATCGCAATTCATTAGCAGCAATGGTGCAACCTATAAAGATGCTCTAAAATTCCTACTATTTTCCTCAGTCGTTTTATACTTAAAAGTGCGGTAATATTAGCCAAATTTCCGCGAAATTTTGCCAGCAAAATATCCGTTGTCTACTGTCAATAGTGTACTGTAGTTGTGTGAAACACAGGTCATAGACGTTAACCTTCGAACCAAGGAGCGTTCTATAAACAGCAAAATCACATGACCAACCAGTGGTGGATAAAGAACTTGAAAGCCACACTTGAGTAAAAGTACAGATATCTTACCAGAAAATGACTTTGGTAGAAGTTGAAGTCACCGTTTAGAATATTGCTTGAGTAAAAGTTTTAAAGTATGGGATATTTATTGTAGCCTACTTAAGTAAAGTATTTCTTTAATATTAAACTTACTTAAGTATTGAAAGTAAAAGTACAAGTAAATTCAAAATAGAAAAGGATCAAATAAATATTAAAAATTGTTCTATACACAGATTGAGCAGAAAGATTGTGTTCAGGTTTAACTCTTTCTTCCATTTTGTATCTTTGGGTTAGCATAAGAGCCACTTCATCCGGTCCGGAGAAAACATTTCTCGTAAAAATGGAATCTGCATCTGAAATGGCATTTAGATTCATGTACACAGATAGTTGAATGCAGCTCAGAGGGGATGCATTTAAAGGGGTCATATGATGCGATTTCATTTTTTCCTTTCTCTTTAGAGTGTTACAAGCTCTTGGTGCATAAAGAAGATCTGTAAAGTTGCAAAGACTAAAGTCTCAAATCCAAAGAGATATTCTTTATAAAAGTTAAGAGTTAGCCACACCTACCTAAAACGGCTCGTTCGAACACGCCCCCACATACCTACCTCACTATGTGGGAAGATTTGCATAAAGCCCCCAAATGTTCACGCAAAGAAAGAAGACCTAACTTTATTCTCGCTGTAGTTTTGTTGTTGCCGCTGCCGCCATGTCCTGAAGACACTGTGTGCTTCGTTGTGAAAGCGAAACCACTTTGTTTGGTCTTCCAAAAGAGGACGATATCCGCTTCGCCATGCCTAGAGCTGATCTGTGCTGGTCGCTGAGGAAATACATCATTGGACTCCACCAATCCACAGTCAGACAGATTGTGTACAAATTCAAGACCACTGTTACCCTCCTCAGGAGTGCTCCACCCACAAAGAACGCTCTAAAAGCAAGGCGTGTAAAAGTCCACTAGGTTTCAAAGGACTGCATGCTAACTTCTAAGCAACTAAAGACCTTTCTCACATTGGCTAATGTTAATGTTTATGAGTTCATCATCAGGTGAACACTGAACAACCATGGTGTCCATGGCAGAGTCGCAAGAAGAAAGCCACTGCTCTCCAAAAAGAACATTGCTGCCCATCTGCAGTTTGCTAAAGATCATGGACAAGCCAGAGGATACTGGAGAAATGTTTTGTGGATGGATGAGACCAGTATATGTGTGTAGTTAAGTATGTAAGTGTGAATTATATGTGAGTATAAGTCCCCTACTCCCCTTGTATCACATTAATAAATTCACCTACAAATGTTAATAACAAAAAAAGTGTTTATGTTGGTTCTACAAAGGGTTAGTAGTGTGTTTAATAGATGAAACATCTACAGTGTAAACAGAAAGACACACACAGTGAACTGCAAAGCCTCAAATGTGCGTCTGCTGGCCACATCCATTAGGATTGTTTGGACAAAACCAAGAGAAAGAGGGAGGGAGAAAGATTCAGGAGACGAGGGTCTTGGAAAAGAATGGATTCTCTGGAGACCAGTAGGAGGAGGAGAGAGGGAAAGAGTGAGAGGGGAGGGCTGATAACTGCATCTGGAAGTTATTTGGAACAAGAGAGGTAGGAAATAGTTGATAGAAAAGATAGAAAGCCAAGGAGAACCTGGAATTAGTAATTAGGGTTGAGGGAACACACTAACAAGCAAACAAATACTTTGATGTTGTTTGTTACCTAAAAAAGAAAAAGAAAAAATATATATATATTTATTGGGATTTCAAGAAGAGAGAAATGATAGGAGTCTGAAGGAATTAAACAACAAAGAAAGAAAAGCTTGTGAAGAATTCTGTATCCGACAAAACTGCAATACCAATATTTCAAGCTCATCACTTCACAGATGCCTTTATGTTTTTTTGTACCTTAAGAAGAGTCATTAACAACCAGAAGAACTGGAGGAATCACATCTGTGATGTGGATAATATTGATCTATGAATAATTAAAGCAAGATCTCATGAACTTCATCACTACGAAGCAAAAAGACAATACAGGAAGCTTTGGAGTAAAGACAAAGTGAAAACTCAACTCTGTTCCTCGAAACCCTTCAATTGCCTGTCAGTCACTTTTTCTGTCTCCATCTAAATCAAGGTAAAGCGACTATATTTGCTTCATGCTTAATGTTAATTTTGTAATATTAAATATAGAGATTTGTGTACTGTTTATGAACCACTTGATCAGTGCTGAAGCAGACCAGCTAAATCAATGACAAATTTTATTCAATATTATGTGTTTATGGAAACCTGATATTATAAAAAAAAAATTAAATAAAAAAAAAGAAAGAGAGAAATTGTGTGTTATGCTTCAAGCTACTTTCCATCTTTACTAAGCATTTATAATCACAAGAAAACTAAATGTAGGATTAGGTTTCTATGTGTTCTCATATTTAAAGAACTCATTTTAATTCACATATGGTGCCAATTTTCAGAACCATTATTGACATACCACTGAAATCAGATCATAAATCCATGTGCTGCCTAACTTTGAGGGGGCTTATATGTTTACATTCTGGCCCATAATATACTTTGTGGTTTCATGTGGACTGCATTTTGTGGAACAAAAAGGGCAAAATAACCACCAACATGATTATGTTGCATTTTGCTCATGGAAAATTAAGTGGGACATATTAAAAGTCCACAAAATTCGTTGAGTTTATCGTATAAGAGAGGCCCTACATGAGTACATATTTCAGACATGGATCATAATAGCTTTACAGTTAATGCTATCAGCAGTACAACACAAGGGTGGTTTCTTCCTGTCTGGAAACAGCACTTCCTCTGCATGCTACAGTTCAGGAGAGTGTGAAAGTTTTCACACGTTAAAAGCACACACAATTCGTTTATCCTCATTTGGTGACTCTATTTCTGTCTTTCTTCTTTCATGCAGAATGTCTGTGCCACGAGGTTGTCTCTGCTGTGTGAAGTACCTCATGTTTATCTTCAACCTCATCTTCTGGGTTAGTTCTGCTTTACTCTTCTGTCGAATATGAGTTTGGCAGATTGTGGAACCATAAGTTTCTTGAACTCAAACAGTCGTTCTTAATGATATGAGGCTATTCTAATACATAAGATTCACACGTGTATTATTGCTTTTATACAACAGGGGCTCAATTACAGAAATATCCTAACTCAAATTCCTATTCTGTTTGGTAACCATGGTAATTTCACTTAGGAAACAGAACTTTTCCAAATCAAGACTTAAGATGGGAAGTTTCTGTAATACAGGCCCAGTTCAGTAAACAATAAGTTAATACTGAGTAATGTACACAAATACTTTGTTGCTCTAACATCTACAATTCCCAACAAAGTCCAAACAAAATCAACTGTAAGCGTCTCTGAACAACACACAGCACTGGCGTTCCTGAACGAGTGTTGTGGATTGAATTACTGAGTTATTGAATCATTCACTCAGCGAATCAGTTCATTGACTCACTCAAAAACAAACAAACAAACAAAAAATAAAAAACATGTCACTTTTCGCCACCTACGTATACAGAGACCACTGCTCAGCCAAAAGTAATCGAGGATTAAAGGCTGGAACTATACACACCAACTTTAAGACTTCACCCCTGATTTACATTTGCCAAAAGTCATAGCCAGTCTGTAGATTTTGGGCAGTTGGAGTTGACAGTTTTCACAGAAATCGCGTAGTGTCTAGCTTAAGACTATAAATCTATCCAGGTTGATATTTTGAGCCAATATTGTTCCATTTGTCATGCGTTTCCTGGCAACGAGGCACATGTTTCTGCTTAAGTTTATTGTGTTCAGATTCAATGACTTGAAAGTCTTTTAAGGTGTGATGCTCACTCCTTTAGTGTGTAATGCTCAGGTCCAGTTGTTTTTAGCAAGTGTAGCCTATATGCATAGTGTTTTCAAAATCTGTTCAGAATTTTAAAGTCGTGTAGTGTACTCCAGCCTTAACTGTTTAACATGTATAAAATATGTAGAAGGACATGCAATGAAGTAGCCTACTAGTCAATTAAAGTTTATGAAGGCCATGGAGGCCTATTACACTTGTCCCTCAGAATGACCTAAATTGCTTTACACTGATGAAAAGTGACTTATCTGAACATAATGTACTGTTATATTTCTTTACCTGTGCTTGTTTTTGCAGTTGGGAGGATGTGGTTTATTTGGTGTTGGGGTGTGGCTTGCCTTTACACAGTCAGAGTTTTCATCTCTACCACTGTCCTTCCCTTCACTCTCCGCGGCCAACCTACTGCTTGTTGCTGGGGGCGTCACCATGGTGACAGGGTTCCTAGGATGCCTTGGTGCTCTGAAAGAGCAGAAGTGTCTGTTGATGACGGTAAGATACCTGGATCCTAGGGGGCAGTCGTGCCCTAATGGTTAGCGAGTCGAGCTTGTAACTCTTGTAACTCAAAGGTCGTGGGTTCGAGTCTCGGTAGCGGCAGGGATTGTAGGTGGGGGGAGTGAATGTACAGTGCTCTCTTCCACCCCCAACTGCTCCCCGGGCCCTGCAGCTAGTGTGACAGCACACTGCATTAAAAGAAATGATCATTCATGTTTTCATAACCGCTGGCCAAATTAAAAAAATAAACTAAAATTAAATCACCTTTGAGAGCAAGGGGGCCCCCTGGTGTTTCGGGGGCCCTACGCAGCTTGCGTATAGGGAGGATCAGGGGCCCGTTCGTCGTAAGTCGCTTATTACATCCGAGATGAAATGTCACATCCAAGATGATATCATCGCGCTAATCAGGATCTGGCTAATTGGGTTCTTCGAACGCACCTGTTATTGATGATTAGTCTGGCTGGACTGAGTTATCTGAGATAATTGCGTGTTCATGGGTTGGTTTAAAATGGGCGATACTCGAAACCACGATCAGCAATGCAGCGATTGGCTGGCGGCAAGACAGCAACGTAATGACATCATATATAGTATTAAAGACTACACAACATTTAAATGATTATTATTTTACATTATTGTCCCTGAATTAGTAGGGTACTCTTGTAATAAAGTAGCGGTGGTAGCGGAAAGATTTTAAGTATCAATTCTGCTTAAAAATATGCAATCTAATCCTGTTTACATGAAATAAGGCTGCTCCCGAGCAGGTTTAAGCTTATGGACCTGTTGCTATGATAGCAACTCCGGGATGAGCTTCGAAGAACCAAACAATCCAAGATCATGCCAAATCATCAACAATCAAATCCAGCTAACTGTGTTAGCGACGTACGAAGAACGGGCCCCTGCTCTGAATGCAGAGCACAAATTCCGAGTATGGGACACCATACTTGGCTAATGGCTACAGGTCATGCCACTTTTCAACACTTTCCTTACAGACATCAGAAAAACGTGTGCAAACTGCCCAGAGGACGATGTTCATTCAAGTATCATCTTCATCTCAGATGCTTCTGATTTCTAAAGGATCATGATTAATGTGACACTGAAGACTGGAGAAAAAAATCATTAGAAAAAAATAATCAACTTTTTTTTTTTTTTTAAATACATGTAAATAAAAAAAATAGTATTTTCAATTGTGATAAAATTGAATAATTTTATTGTTTTTACTGTATTTTTGATCAACTAATGCAGCCTTCCTGAGCATAAAAGACTTCTTTCCAAAATGATTAAAAATCTCACCAACCACAAACCTTTGAACTGTAGTATATTTATGTGATATATAATGTACATAATTAAATAATTTAAATCACATAATTTAAACTTCATGTTCATTTAATTATTTTGAATATAAAAGATCTTCATTCAAGTATCAGCTTTATCTCTGATATTTCTCCTTAGGGGACATATAAATGGAGTGGCAGTTATTGAGTACAGAACTATGAAATTGGTGTCTATAGCACAGTTCAGACATTTTGGACTAGTGTATTTGATAAGAAACATTTTATTTCATATAACTTTTTTATACTTTTATTTTTTTAAATGATTCACCTCTGCAATAATCTGCAGATTGTCTTCTTTAGAAAGAGACCAACCTTAGGTCTGTATTCAAAAGCGTTCATGAATTACCTAGGCAAATCTGAGCCCAGAATGAGACGTTGTTGAGATCTCTTCTGAAACTCAGAGGAGACATATATGTGCATAGTAGGGCTTTCTTATTTGGGAGAAAAATCTTAGAAGCAGAAGAAGCGAAAGTCTCCAGTTGCTCTCCATTTAATCTCATTGCTGAATAAGAGAAACAATTGAGATATTAAAAAGATTTTGTAATTTTTCTTTCTTAAATGGGTTTACTGTCAGAATACACCATGTCTGTTTTGTTTTTTATTAAATATACAGTATATTGTTGTCATTCATGTGGTCTAATCTTTCTTTCTGGTTCTTTCAGTTTTTTGTGATCCTCTTGTTTCTAGTCCTGATAGAAGTGGCACTGATTTTGGTTTTGAGTGTGTATCATGAAGAGGTGAGGGACTAATGTCTGAGCCTTGCAAATATTTCAGCCTTTCCTTTCAGGAAAACACTTTGCCTTCAACTTCCTGTTTATCCGCTTCTCTCTCTGTTTTGTCCATTTAGTTGGACAAGAAAGCCAAGGATGACCTAAGAGAGGGAATGAAAGACTATCTCACAAATGAAGGGCTAAAAAAATCCTGGGACAACATGCAGAGAATTGTGAGTTGAATTTATAACAGTCACAAATATGAAGTCTGAGATACTTCAATGTGAATTATGGATTCTGTTTCCTTCAGTTCAAGTGCTGTGGCGTGAGTAACCACACTGACTGGCACAACAAAACGTCAAGTGGCAAACTTCCTGACTCCTGCTGCAGGGATAATACTGAAGGCTGCCATCACTGGGAAGAGGTCAGATCATTTCCGGGGTCGTGGGGTTAGCTAACTACCACACATTCCTAAATCCCACCAACTATTGGTAATTGCAACCATATGCTTAGCGTAAAATGAAAGCCAGGACAAACCTTACATACATCTGTTAATGCTCTTTGTTATATGGCTCTTTTGTTGTTTTTCATGAAAGAGTCATGAAAAACAACGTATCATGGTTTCTACAAAAATATTAAGCAGCACAACTGTTAACAATGAGAAATGTTTCTTCAGCAGCAGATCAGCATATTAGAATGATTTCTGGATGATCATGTGACGCTGAAGACTGAAGTAACGGCTGCTGAAAAATCAGCTTTGCCACACAGGAATAAATAAATAATTACATTTTATGTCCATTTATTTATTTGGTAGTCATGCTATAAGCAAAGATAATGTACTTCCATCCAATCATTATTGCAAAATAAACTGTTTTAGGCCATGTCCGGGTTTATTTTGTGATAATGAGCAGCTGACTGAACCTTTTTATTCTTTTCTTTTTTTTAAATGTCTTAGCCATGCTATGAGAAGGCCAAAGACTGGCTCCTGGCTAACATAACCTCAGTGCTTGGGTTTGGAGTTTGCATTGGAATCGTTCAGGTACCTTGAAAATCATGTTTCTCATATAGTCTGATAATTATACAAGCGCTGCATGCACTCATATAAAATGTGACTGCATTTTCTTCCTCCAGATTCTTTCTTTGGTGTTCTCCATGCTGATGTACTGCCAAATCCTACGAGCAGAAAAATACATGGACTGACCCTACCTTTGCCCCATTGTGTCAGGGGCTCTTTAAAACATAATTCTGAATATGTAATAAATGTTTAAACAGACTTGCCTATTAGAGATACTGTATGAGATATGCATGTGCACATAAATTATGCCGTTGCACTTAGGAAGAAGCTCAGATGAATTTCTGCTAAATTAATTTACCAGGTAAATGTCTAAATAATTCAAATGTACTTTTGGGAAAGATGATTAAATGAATATAAAGTGAATGTATACAGTAGGTGGAAAAGTAAATCCTAGTATTATTGCACTCCTTAAATACCCTTATAACTGCTTGCGATGAACTTTTGATCAAAGTTAATTTCAATTAAATGGAAATTAAATGTTTAAGAGTTGATGATTTGTTATACTAAACCAATGATCTGTACTATATTAATGTCTGTATTAATGTCTATTAATATATTAATGTCATTACAACTAAATAAGGATGCAATACAACAGTAGATGACTGAAATCATGTATTTTTGTATAAAAGTCACATAAAAAAATTAAAAACATCCAAAATACAAAAGAATAAATACATCAGCAGAGAAACCATATAATCAAGTAGTGTCAGTTGCCCAGCTGGCTAGTTCTTGTTCTTTCTTTCCTCACAGAGGTCATGCTACATGAGTTCATAATGATTTAGTTCATGGAGTTCATAATGATCAGATCTACTGTAAGGTCAATGACTGAGGTCAATCACACTCCAGAACCTCATCCAATTGTGCAATGCTCCCCTGTGAATGAAAACACCAAAAACAGTTTACTTGACAACTCTGCCCCCTTCTGGAGGAAAATAACAGATGCAAAACACACAGAATAGCCCAGAGACTGAGGAAAATGCTAAAAGTAGACAGTAAAACCTGCTCACCCATCCTCCATGACTCCTCACCCATGGTGCAAAGCTCTCCATGTAGCGTTCAGCATACCCCGTCAGACGCTGAACTCCAGTTGCTGTGACCACTCGTCGAGACACATCCATGGTGATGGCAAGACGCCGCAACGTAGGGCTGACCGGTGCTGGAGCGGGGGGTTCTTCACTCTGACTGGCGTACGTGTCAAGGAGTTTGGCAAAGGATGGGTAAGAGAGGCGTGTGAGGGTGGACCGCAGGAAGGGACTGGCATTTATCTACAACATTAAACACCAATTAACAATGATAAACACAAAGTAACTAACTAAAAATAACCATGAACAGTCAAAACACTGCTTACGTCAGAAATGTTTTATGATGAGAAGCCAAGAGCCAGTTTAAGACCCAAGATTACTCTATATCCCAGTAAGACGTGTCAAAAAAAAAAAAATCATTTTCATGAATGCCAAACTCAGGGATCATTACCTTCTCGTTTATGACATCCCCCTCTGAAGTCAATATCTGAACTAGCTGTTGAACCACAGCCTCTTTGTCATTGTCTGTGATGAAAAGAAGAAGTGTAACATAATCTCTAAACAATACAAGTGGGGGAAAAAAAAACATCAGCTGGACCATCAACCCATTATAACAATAAGCTATTGTTAAAGGACTGAACATCCATTTCTGTACCTAAGACAACTAAGTCTGTTTAGTATTCAACTGCTCTTGTTTTGATATTCCACTGTAAATGGAATATCACACACATTATGATAAAATTAAAATACTGTACACATTATGATAAATGGTTTTACATGTACCTTTAAGTGCACTTGGCGCAGGCTCTGGCTTAACAGGGGATTTCTTTTTCACACTGTGTTTGAGCACGATTCTGTCCAGAGTTTCTGCTACACCGTCATAAAACTCAGGTGGATGGGCTGAGATAAAACATATCATATCACATGCAGAGTCCACACACTATCATTCTAAAGTTTGGGGTCAGTAAGATTTTTTCTATTTCATGCATTCTGACTTATTTACACTGTTAAAGAGTTGGACTCTCATGCTAAACATGGCCAAAGTTTCAAAAAACGATTTGAATGTATGACGGAGTATTTCTGTGCCAAATACACTCCTTCCAGGTTCGAATAAGTTTCGGAAAGTTTTTTCGAGCTTGGCTCTTCATGATGTCATGAAGGGCGGAATTCCTTGCATGGGCAGTTCTCCCGGAAGAGCGCGCGCACACATTAACCAGAGCGAGAGCGTGA